GCACAAAATAAAAAAAGTATTGAAGAAAAGATATTACCAGCTGGGTTCGATGATCTCCTCTACACTCCTCCTTGAACTTACTGGATTGCTTCCACAAATATTAACTAATCACTCTTAAGAAGTAGATCTACTGCTTCAAGAATTCCCTTAGTTGTCACTCCTAAGGAAATTGCATAGAAGCACTATGAAGTTTGAAAAAAACTAAGTGACTAAACCCCCTTACTAATATTACAAACTGACTATTTAGAGAAAAATAAAGAAAATAAACTATGGTGCTAAAGCGCTCTAGACACTTGTACCACGACAACCATAAAATGAACTAATGTCACAACACTAAAGAATTTTCTCCTTTGTCGTGTTTGCTGATGTGGACAACTTTGTTTTTTGAATTGACGTGTCTCTTCACTAACAGATCATATCCTAGTCGGTTAAAATTGTAACATTGCGGTATTGCTAACAGTTGAGCACTGTAGCATCCACGTGGAACTTTCCTTGGCTCGACGGCACTGGAAATTAGCTTCTTGGTATTGTGAAGACAAAGATTGGACTTTACAGCTCTGACTCCTCTATTGTTGAGGCACTATCAAATAGTGACTGGGCGCCGACAAGTCCATATTGGGCATTTTGGCGGTGTCAATGATGGGGCTGTGATGATATACTGACCGACATCGCGGTGCTACATGATACTTTGATATTCATGCCTTTCTTATATTTTTCTTGCATAACATAACTAAAATAATATGGTTTTACTAACAATTTAATATATAAAATATAAAATTATTTACAACCATCAAATTCTCCCAAACATAAACTCTTGTTTGTTTTCAAGTAAATAAAATTATGTAATTCTAATTAAGTGATTAGTCTTTTTTTTTTGAAGAATTGCAATGAAATGCAATAAGTACAAAGAACTAATTACAAGTAATAAAACGATCACATTCCTCCTTGATTAACTTCAACAACAAGGAAGGAATGTTCTGCAAAGAAGAACTATCAAAATAGAAACTAGCTTCCAATGCCAAAGTAGCACAACAATAAGCTACCTTATTACAACTTCAAAAGGCATGATGGAAGACAAATTTATTGAAATCATTTAAAAAATATAAATCCTTTGCCGGCCACCTATCCATATGCCAATTATTCTTCTTTAATGAGTCTTGAATAAACTTGATAATGTTGATATTATCACTTTCAATAATCAATCCTTTGCATTCTAACATCAAGTTACTAAGAAATTCCCTTACCGTAAGAACAGCTGCTAGCTCAAGTTGAGCTATATCCCAATGCACCTTACTCTTCCCAAAAGCACTGATGAACCTGCCTTTATAATCTCTAAAAATGCCACCAATTCTAGCTTGATTGGAGCTAAGCAAAGAAGCATCCACATTAATCTTAATCCAATCTTTTGGTGGAGGGCACCAAGAATTTTGAGACTCCCTAAGGAGATTAGTTCCCCAGCTCGTAAGATATGGATTTTAAGTTGAAGTAGTTAAGAATAAAGCATTAGAAGCAACCAAACATCTTGGCAAATAAGCTTGACATCATTCCGATTTCTCCAGGAAAGGTAAACAACCGTGTAGTAAATTCTGACAATTCCAGAATTTTGGGCTGTTAAGTTCTTCAACTCCTGTAAACAGCTATCTAGAGAATGAAATACCGGTATATGAATACCCCATTCAATCATTTTCTTTATAACCTCTACCATATATTTGCAATGAACCATGATATGCTCATATGATTCATTTGATCGGCAGCCTCTAGCACAAAGAGCATTTTCTGATAGCCTGCGGTTCTTTAAGAACAAATTACTTGGAATAGCTATTTTACCAAGCCTCCACCAGAATGTCTCAACCTTCTTGTTAAGTTTTAGCTTCTGTACCCAATTGAAGTACCCGTTCTCCTCTCCAGCACAACTATTAAACACAGAATGCTCATACACCAAACTAGAAATGGTCTTCCCTGAACACCAATTCAACAACTCCACCCGATCCTCCTCCTCACTTTCAATACGAATTTGACTAATCAGCAGGATTAAATAAGGGTGAAAATCCCTCTGTAAAAATGTAAAATTCCACTCACCATTCCTCAATAAAAGCTGATGTATAGTAACACCCTCCAGGAATTCACAATCAACATAAGTTGGCCACCGGTTGATGCATTTATCAAGCAACCATGCATCATTTAAAACACTAATTCTATCCCCCTTGCCTACTCTCCATCTAACAGCATTCTTCAAAAGTCTTTCTCCATCCATCAAAATACGCCAAGCACTAGAATTAACTTTCTTTTGGGCTTCATACATAACATCACTACCATACTTAAACTTTATTGTTCTATGGAACAATTAATCCGGCTTTTGTAAGAAATTCCAGGCCTATTTAGATCTAAGAGAGCCAACTCTAAGCAAAGGAGAATGTAAACCCAACTCTTCCAAACTCCTTGGTTTGCAAATCTCTCCCCAAGCCACATAATGCATTCCATTAGATCCATCATTTTTTTGGCAAACTTAATTTCTACACAATTTTTCCAATTCATGAAGTACCCTCTTGGGAACCAACGAATGCGTTATCAAAAAGTTTGGCATAGAAAGAAAAGAGCTTTCAATAAGAGTGAGCATACCTCCCATAGAAAGAGACTTCTTACTCCAAGTTTTGAGCCTATCCATAACATTACTAAGAAGCTCTTTAAAATTAGCCACCTTGAGTCTCCTAAGAGAGAGCTTCACACCCAAGTATTTCATCTCATTGACCACTTTGAAGCCAAGTACTTTAGTAATCTTCTTCTTCATTGGGTACCTAACCACCTTGCCAAAAATAATTTGTGATTTGCTGAAATTAACTCTTTGTCCTGTCCACTTGTAGAAGTCTTCCACAATGATCTTTAATGCCTTAGCTAAGGCAGTAGAGCATGAGAGAAGATTAGCACATCATCAGCATAAAAGAGATGTGTAATCTTTGGGCCTCTGGGAGAGATATGAATGCCAAGAGACTGCCCCCTTTTTTGCACAGAATTGGACAACAGTTGGGAACACAAAATGAAAATGTATGGTGATAGTGGACATCCTTGACGGAACCCATTATGAGCATTAATCCACTTCGAATTCTTTTCATTGATGATAATGGAAAACATTACATCTATAACACATTCCAATAGAAGGTTAGAGAAATTAGAAGGAAAGCCATACCACTTAAGAATTTGATGAAGAGTTGCCCATCCCATGCTATCATAAGCTTGCTCCATATCTAATTTTATAGTCATCAATCCCTTCTTATTCTTGGATATCTTAAACTTATGAAAAATCTATTGAGCCAAAAGACAATGCTCTGAAATAGATCTCCCAGGAATGAAAGCAATTTGCTCTTCAGAAATCATCTTGTAAATTCCCTTCTTCAATCTATTAACTAACATGGTAGCAACAATCTTATAGTTAGTTTGAAAAAGGCTGATAGGCCTGTAGTTAGCCGAAACCAATGGATTCTTGACTTTAGAAATCAAGACAACAAGGGTATCCTACCACTCCTTACTCATACGGATAGACTTAAAAAAACATTTGACAGCATTCCATAAAGGCTCCCAGAAAATACTCCAATAACTTTTGTAAAAAGAAGAAGTAAACCATCCATACCTGGAGACTTATTGTTCCCATGCTGGAAGACCAAACACTGCAGCTCATTCATGGAAAAATCCTCATGAAGCAAGGCTATATCCTCAGCTTAAACCATCTGTTTTTCGGAAGCTAATGGCCAACCCGTTAAATCACAGATCCTATGTTGCCACTTCTTTTCAAAAAACTGATAAAAAACCTTCTCAATTTGATCATCTTCATCATGTACCTTATTGAACTCATCTTTAATTTGGTTAATCTGATTTCCATTCCTTCTAGCCGTGACAAAGTTATGGAAAAGCTTGGAATTTGTATCTCCTTCTTCATGCCATCAAGCTTTTGCCCTTTGATTCTACCAAGTAGAAAGTCTTATTAAAGTGACATTAAGCTCATGTACTTTAGTTCAAAGCAACAAAAGATCATCAGCTGACCAATTCTCCCCCAAAGCCTCCTTGTTTTGAAGTTGAAGGATCTCCTTTTTCAGCTTTTCCTTTAAACTGTTCAAGTCTTTGCATTTATTTTATTCCAAAAAATAATGCTCTTAAAGTTCTACTAGTCTTCCTTTGTAAGAACTTATTTTCATCACCATAATCCTTCTTTTTCCAAGAGTGATAAATGACACTCTTAGCTGCCGGGTAAGACCTCCATGTATCCTCAAACTTGATAACCTTTGACTTGAACCGCACACTAACATCAAATTTAAGAACAATTGGACTATGGTCAGAGGCCACCCTGGCCAAATGTCTAATAGCAGCTAATGGAAGCTTCTGAATAGCAAAAGAGTTCAACAAACACCTGTCCAACCTCTCCCATATCCGAGAGGCCCCCTCCTAGTTGTTACACCAAGTAAACCTTGGTCCAACGCACCCAATGTCATGAAAATCTGAATTCATCATTAAACCTTTCATCTCCTTAGGTCCTTTAGAGAACAAGTACTCTTACCTCCTCTTTTCTCCTCCTTATTCAAGATACAATTAAAGTCCCCTCCAATGATGGCAGGAAATGAATCCTCCATACATTTCTCAAGTTGATTCCACAAACTTCCCCTCTCCCTACAACACCTACTCCCATACACAGTAGCAACTTTCCAAATTCCCTAGTTAGGAACCGAAAGATTACCAACAATAACCTGAGAAGAAGTTTCCTTCACATCAAAAGAAACCAACTTCCTGTTCCATAACACCAGAATCCCTCCAGAGGTACCCACTGCAGGGTAATGCCAATAGTCCCAATCCTTCCCAATGAGACAGTCAATCTCCCTTCTATCAATGCTAGGAAGCTTGGTCTCCATAAGACCAATAAAAAACACATCTTGTTCTCTAACAACTTCCTTTAAATATAGGGAAGCCTCTTTCTTCCTTGCCCACATACAATTCCAAAACAATAATGAAGACATTTAAACAAGTATAGGGGATTTCTCCCCATTGTGGGAATTCTGCCTTCCATCCTTCTTTTTCTTCTTATAGCCAGGTTCAACTGGCCCTAAAGATCTCAACTCCTTGGCTAACTTTACTTTAGCAGCACCACTTTGAGACCCCACACCCATATGATTGAATTCTGGATCAGCTACATCCATAACCTTGTCTATTGATTTATCAATTTCTTCATACTTACCACTGCCTTCTTCTTTACTAACTTCAATTAACGCAACAAATCTATTGATTAACTGAATTTCTGGAGGTTTCTCAATATCTGGGCAATTACTTGGAGCCAGACAAAATTTTCTACAACAGCCTCTGACACTTTCTTCAACTGAATTTCCTTCTGAATAGCAACACTCTGGATGTTACTTATTATGTTCTCAGTATTATCCCTATCGCCAATTATTCTCCTATTAGTAACATTACTATTGAACACCCTTCTATTTTTAAAATGGACCTGGATCCACAAGCCATATTCAGAACTGATCACTAACGTCTTATTGTCAGTCACAGCCTTATTACCTTCCTCATTAGCTGCATCTGTCATCCTCAACTTTTGATCTAGAATCCCAAGTTTCACATTCTCTGGACAGGCATTAACTTCATGACCCACTTTGCCACACTGGTAGCAAAGAAGATCAATCTTCTCGTACTCCACCCATTGGAAGAACCTCCCAGTTGAGCTATCTACCTAAACACCATTCAATAACTTTTTCACCAATCAATCCTTACACAAACCCGACCAAACTCACGCTTTCCCCAGCGAAAGGTATTGCCATCTAAGTACATTGGGGATCCAAAGCAAGAAGCAATTCTCGCTATATTGACCTCATCCCAGCAATATAGTGCAAGCACAGGAGTCTGATCCATACGGGAGCGGAAATTCCCTTAAACAAATTTGGCTCAAAAGCAAGGGACCTTCTATCTATAACGACAATGAATCCACTCACGTACCAAGGCCCGCCATTCAAAATTTCTTCTTCCACCTCATTCGATTTAAACAAACATAATATCCAGTTCATGCTAATTGAAGTCATATGAAAACCACCATATTTGCTCCATTGCCTCCTCAATTCAATACTACACATAGAAAACGGTACGTTGCTTCCCAAAACTTTAATTACAACTGAATTTTTCAAAATCTCTCAGTTCTTAGCCTCCATTTTAGAATTTAACCTCACTGTAATTCCATCTTCAGAAAATTCAGCTTGATCCCTATTAAACGAAATCTTAATATGTTTTGGCTTCGACCATGCTTCAGCAATCTCACCATTGCTTTCCTGTAAAGATTTCTCATTTGGATTGGCCTTCAAGATTTCAATATTCTCTAAAACCTTTATAGGATCCTCAATGTTATTCAAATTTTCATCAACCTTCTGACCATCTACCGACGACAGAACATTAGCAACATTCCGATGCTTATGCATATCAAGAATTCCAGAAAAACTATTTACACGTAGAATTAAATCATCCAAAGCTGCAGGTTCAAGAATAGCCAAACCTGGATTTCTCATCTCCTCCATAATCTTCTTAGTAACCATTTCCTCCATCACAACCTTCTTCCCCTTACGCTCAACAAGAATTTGACGGCTCGGAGGTCTTGTCCCTTCTCTAATCACAAAGCCATTTGAAACTCTACCAGTGACTCGTAAGGAGCCAGAAGGACGTGGAGCATTCATGAACACCGGCAAAGAAATGCCGTAGATCCTCCGGTGCCAACTCCACCGATTACGAAAAGCCCGCGCAAAAACAAAATTCAAACCTCCTGTGAACTTTCTCTCTCTAGAATTCCAGACGTTGTTTCTCTAGAAGCACCTTCCACTTAAGGTTAAGATTTCAATTAACTGATTAATCAAAAAAATAAAAAGTGACCATCTAAAATTATTAAAATATATGATAACACAAGTGTACAATTTAGTGAAATGAATAAGGCTATACTACTTGTTTGAAAAAATACTAATATTTAAACTAATCAATCAATCTAACTACAACCCAATTTGAAATTATAAGTTATAGATTAATCATTAACTTTTAGTTATTGAAGTGAATAATTTAGTTATAATGTTAAAATTGTACTTTCAGTAATTCCTTATCCCTTAAAATTTACTCTTATGTCTTATACTTTTTAGTTTATGTTTAAGATTTTATTTTTAATCTTATACTTTTACTGATATTATGACTTATCCCATTTTTTCTATTTTTTTACAACTATTTTATAGTTTTTTTCTTTTTTATACTACATAATTAATGAAATTTAATACCAGCTTCAGTTTTAGACCTTCATCCAATATTAATGATTTTAATGTAAGGAATTGATGAGATTACTAATTTTATCTTCAAATTATAAATGATTTCAAATTTGAATATGCTCATATCTAATTTTTAATACTAATTATTCATCTTACAATTTTAAAAATTGGTTTTATAAAGATATAGCTTATAAATTCAAATTATGATAATTGTTGAAATGGTTGATTGAGTTAAGTATTAGCTTTTCTAACCTATAAATTATAAACAAAGTTTATTCAAATTAAGATCTAAGGTTTTCTTATTATCCTAATTTTACATAGTTTATAATTATAATTTTTATAAGGGTTAATTAAATAATCAAAATATAAAAAGTAATTCGAGGACAATAATAATTTAAGCATGACTCGAATTTGCTAATATGTAATTAAAACACATAAACAAACAATATATCCTCATGCTTTCATAAGAATGATAAAATGGGCATAAAATATATTCTGAACATAAAATATGACATAACATTCATAACATAATGGGTACTAGTATAACACATACATGGGTTACCTCCTAGAAGTAGAGCTAAGTTTATAGTCTTCGGACAGACTTGCCCATATTTTAAATTTGGCTAAGATGGATGATTAGTACTCTTCAATTGGGTCACATTATATATGCTTCCTTCTCCTTAGGATTAACTTCAGCGTTACTAGGTAAGAATTCTATGAGCCTACTACTTACATGAATGAACAAGTTGACATAATTGAGTTTCCATTTTTTAATTAATCGACTTAATTTTGTACCTGATTTTTCAATTTCACTACCGCATTTATTGGCGGTATCTTTCTAGTTTCATATTGATTGTCTTGATTAAATCTAGGAGGATAAGCTGGTCTGGAATTATTATTAGCTTGATTTTAGTTATTGTAATTTGTTCACTAGTTATTTTGACTAGAATTCCATTTATTTTCACTATAATTATTTGATCAACTAAAATTAGAGTGATTCTTCCAACCTGGATTATATGTATTTGAATAGAGACTATTTTGTTTTCCAATCAAATTTATATTTTAAATCCATTAGATATCACTCTCTTTCATTACGTTTTTATCTTTCAAATGTCAATATGAATCAAAATTTAAGCTAAAGTACTCAACTTCTTTAATATTGTTATAATTTGTGCAATCAAAATGGATAAAGAATCATTTTCATAGAATCTTGCCACTCTCTTAGGATTCACCGTATCATCAGGTCACAAAAATTTATTTGTTGTCATTTTCTCAATTAATTCATAAGCATTCTCAAATGGCTTTGACATCAAAGAACCTCCAAATGCAGCATCAATTAGGGCTTTAAGAGATTCTTCCAATCCATTATAAAATTTTTTAATTATTAACCAATCAGGTAAGGCAAGATGGGGGCACTTTATAAGCATCTCCTTGAATCTCTCAAAACTCTCATAAATAGATTATCCTTCTAACCGAGTAAAAGAGGTAATATCATTTTTAAGTTTGGCCGCGTAGAAGGTGAGAAATATTTTTCTATAAACTTTTGGGCTAACTCATTCAATGTGATAATAGAGCTTGGGGGTATAAAATTTAACAACATTTTTGTCTTGTCTCTTAGAGAAAAAGGGAATAATATAAATCTAATGGCATCATCATTAACACATTGTACTTAAATATTGTACAAATTTCTAACAAATTTCTAAGAAATTTGCTAAATGTATTTTAGGTCTTGAATGGGAGTTCACCTAAACTGGGAATTCTAAACCAATGAAAGATTGTAGGTTTTAAATCAAAATTATTAACTTGGATGATTGGTCTATCAATTCTATGTTGAATTCCATCAATGTCTCTCATTCTTTATATCACTTATTCTCTCTCATTTTCCCCACTCTCTCTCTCTCTCTCTCTCTCTCTCTCTCTCTCTCTCTCACACACACACACACACACAAACACACACACACACACATACACACACACGTACACTATCTCATTCCACTAATTATGTGATCATCCTCCTCTCTGGCTTTCTATCTCCCTCTCTCTCTCTCTCTCTCTCTCTCTCTCTCACACACACACACATTTTTCCCTCACATTCACTTCCACTCTCACTCTATATATCCCCTCTCTATCTTCATCTACATCTTTTTATCTCTTACACACTCTATTACCCTCTCACTTCTCGTTTTCACTCTTTCTCACCTCTCGACTCTATCTTTGCCTCTATCTCTATATTCCACACAGTCTCTCACTTTCTCTCTCATGCACAATCCCTTTCTCTTAAAATATATCTCCCTCTTTCTCACTCTTTATCTCTTTATCTCTCACCCATTCTCTTTATACAACTTTCTCTCTCATTCTCTCTCTCTCTATCTCTTTCTCTCGCTCTCTTATTCCTTCTCTTGGTATTACTATTTCGCCCATGCCTCTCTCTCTCCCTCCCTTATTATATACCTCTCTCTCACTACCTCTCTTACTCTCTCTCTCTATGTCTCTCTTTCCCTATATCACTTACTATCTCTCATTCTCCCTCTCACACTCTCTCTCTCATAATCTCTCTCTCACTCCCCGCCAGTCTCTCTCTATGTCTCTTTCTCTATATCATCGGTTCTCTATCATTCTCCCTCTCGCACTCTCTATTACACACACTCTCTCTCTCTCCAACTCACTCTACTCACTCTCTATTCATCCTTCTATCTCTCTCTCCCTCTCCATCTCTCCCTCCCACTATCTCTTTCTCATTTATCCCTCTCACTCACTACCACTCTAACTCTATCTCTCCACTCTCTATCTTCATCTACATCTCTCTCTCTCTCTCTCTCTCTCTCTCTCTCTCTTCCTCACTTTATTACCCTCTCTCACTTCTCTTTCTCTCTTTTCTCACCTCTCTACTCTATATTTGCCTCTATCTTAATATTCTTCTCACTCTCTCACTTTTTCTCTCATGCACAATCCTTTTCTCTTAAAATATATCTCCCTCTCTCTAACTCTCCATCTCTCTCTCTCTCTCTCTCTCTCTCTCTCTCTCTCTCTCGCTCGAGCCACTTTCTACTCCATCTCACTTATTTTCTTTATCCCACGCTATTATCCCTCTAAAAAAACATCCCTTCCTTTATCTCCTTCTCCCTCTCATTCTTTCTCTTACTCATTCTCTACAATTCTCCATCTCCTCATATATATAACTCTCTCTCGCTCTCCCTCCCTCTCTATTTTTGTCCACTTATTCTCTTTCTCCCTCAACTAATCTATATTGCTCTCACTCTCTGTTCACTCACACTCTCTCTTTCAATCGCACTACCATACTCTCACCCTTTCTCTTGCACTTTCTCCCAAGCCTCTCTCTCTCATCACTTTCTTTATCTTACACACTCTTTTTATCACTCTCTAACTATCCCTCTCTCTCTCTACTCTCTCTTACTATCCATTATCTCCTTATCTTTATCTCTCACTCCCATTCTATCTATATAAAAAACATCTCTCCCTCTTGCTCTCTCTTCCTTTCCATCTCGCTCTCTTTTAACAATCTCTCTATCACTCTACCTCACTCTCTCTCCCTCTTTAGCTACCTCTATCATCTCTCACTCACTCTCCTTCCCCCTCATTATCTCTACATCTCTTGCTATCTACCTCACTCTCTCTCTACCAGACTCGCTAACTCTCTCTCTATCTATCGCTCTCTTTCTCACTCACTCCCTTTCTTCACTTTCTCTCACTAGCTCTCTCTAACCCTCACGTACTTTATCTCTCTCTCTCTCTCTCTCTCTCTCTCTCTCTTTCTCTCACTCTCTCTCTCTCTCACACACACACACACTGTCTCCATCACGCTCAGTATCCTTCTTACTACTGTCTCTATCTCTCACTCCTGCTCTTTCTATCACTTTCCTCTCTTGCCCTTTCTATCTCTCCCTAATAGACATCTTTCCCTTCACTATCTTTTCCCTCCATCTCCCTACTCTCACTCTTAATAACTCCCACTCTCTCTTGCTCTCTCTTTCCATCACTCTTTTTATATCTTCATATCTCCCTCCCTTTATCTTTGACCTTCTTTCTCTTCTCACTTTTACTCTTGCTCCCTCTCTCTATATCTGAACCCATTCCCCTCAACCTTGTTTTGCACTCTCACTCACTTTCTCACATTCTCCCTCTAAAAATACAACTCCCTCCCAGCCCCTCTAACTCACTCTATCACCCTCCTCTCAATTCTATCTTATTCACTACATTTCTCATTATATCATTCCCTCATTCGCCATACCACCCTTTCCATGTTTTTATCTCCTCCTCTCACTTACTTCTCTCATTTATTTTCACTGAAGTTTTTTCTCTCACACCTTTATCACCCCCTCTTTCTCTCTCCCTCTCTCCATCAACCTTTCTCTATATAAATACACATCTCTTTCAGTCTCTCCCTCTATCCCTCTATCTTTAACTAACTATTGGCCTTTCTCTTACTTTTACCTCTATTATTTTCCCTCCATTTAACTTTTTATATCTCACTATCTATCCCCCTCCCTCTCTTTCTCATTCTTACTCTCTTTGTTGCAGTATCTCTCATTCTTTCTCTCTCTATCAATAACTATACCTTGATCTTTCTCTTTATTTCTTTAACTTCACTCACACACACTCTCTCTCTCTCTCATTCTCTCTTGTGCTCTCTCTACCTTACTTTAACACTCCCTCTCACTCCTTCCCACTCTCCCTCTATCAATCTCTTAATCACTCCCTTCCTCTCTCTCTATCACTCCTTGCCTCTCTCTCTTTCCCCCTTTTCTCTATACCTCTCTATCACTCTTTCATGCTCTCTCTCTATATCTCTCTTTCTCTATATCACTTGCTCTCTCTCATTCTTTCTCTCACTCTCTCTCTCACTCTCTCTCTCTATGACACTCGTTCTCTCTTCATCCCACTATTTCACTACATCTTCCTCTCTCTCTATCATTTCTCCCTTCACTCACTAGCACTCTTGCTCTATCTCTCCACTTTCTATCTTCATCTACATCTATCTCTATCTCTTGCTCACTCTATTACCCTCTCTTACTTCTTTCTCTTTCTCACCTATCTACTCTCTTTCCCTTTATCTCTATATTCTACTAACTCTCTCACTTTCTCTCTCATGCACAACCACTTTCTCTTAAAATATACTACCTCTTTCATAATCTACATCTCTCTATCTCTCACTAGCACTCTTTATATATATCTCTTTCGCTTTCTCTCTCTCTCTCTCATAATCCTGACTCTCTCTTGCTCATACTCTCTCTCTTTGTTACTCATTCTCTCACAAAATCTTTCTTTCTACCTCCCTCTGTAACTTTCTCACTTTACCTTGCACTCACCTAATCTCTCACCCTTGTTGTCCATGTCTCTCTCACTCTCTCTTTCATACCACTTTCTACTCCATCTCGCTTACTCTATTTATCCCACACTTACCTCTCTAAAAATACATCTCTTCCTCTCTCTCCTTATCCCTCTTGTTCATCTCTCTCTCTCTCTCTCTCTCTCTCTCTCTCTCTCTCTCTCTCTCTCTCTCTCTCTCTCACACACACACACACACACACACAATAATTCTCTATCTCTCTCGCTCTCTATCTAACTCTCCAACACTCTTTTTTTATCTCAATATCTCTCTCTCTATCTCCTCTCTCTATTTATCCTCTCTATATGCATCTCTACCTCTTTTACTCTACCTATTATAACTCTCCTCACCCCTCTCTGTCTCTCTCACTTCAATCATTATCTCTATTTCTCTCTCTCACTCTCTCTCTCTCTCTCTTCTTAACACACACATTCTCGCTCACACTCCCTCTCATTTTTTCTCTCCCTATCCAATTATCTCTAACTCTCCCTCACGCACTCTCTCCCTTCTCTCTCACTCATGCTCTCTCTCTATCTCCCTCTCTCTTATTCCCTCTACCTCCCTTTCTCTAAAATACGTCTCTCTCCCTCCCTCTCTCCCTCAACATGTCTTTCCATCTCACTCTCTCTTACTCTCTCTCCCACTTGCTCTCACTCCATCTTTCTCTCTTTTATATCTCACTCACTACCCTCTCTCTCTATTTATCCTCTGTCAACCACCTCTCCATCTCTCTCACTCTCTCTTATTTTATCTCTTCTTTGTTTACCTTATTTTTATATGAGGTCTTCAGGTACAAAATAAACTTATGATTATACATCTGCCTATTTATCATCTTATGTATATGCATATCAAATGTGCATTTATTTAAATTCCAAATGCCTGCATGTCTATGCTTATGTGGGTGAGCCTATCCTATGATTACTACTTTCATCCTAAAAACCAAGCGAACTAGTCCAACTGAAGTACCAATTTGGTCATTCGTTTGGTAGGAGTTCTTCCTGTTTATTATCTTTCATTTGTATGTTATATGTGTATTTATTTAAATTTAAAATGCTTGCATATGCTTACGTGAGTAAGCATATCATATCATCCTAAAAACTAAGGGACTAATCCCAATGAAATAGTAATTTGGTCCTAAGTTTGATAGGGGTTCTACCC